CATGTGCCACTACCGAGAAGTGAACCTATTCTAGAGCACTTTTCAAGATCTAGAGATTTATCTCTTAATTTCAGATAATTTGGTATTATACCTATTTGCTTCTTTTCTTATAGGTCACACAGCTTAACTGTTTCTGTGCTCATTATGAACTCAATAATTAGTTCAGTAGAAAGGCATTTTCAGGGCTCTTAAAATTTATAGAAGTTACTCAATTTCTGTATATTAATGTGTTCTTATCCTAAGTCATTTCTAATGATTACATACCAATGTAATTATAGTGCCTTTGTTTCCTGAAGAGTAGTGAATGCTGAGTGAAATTTGGTAAGATTTTAAAGCTAGAATCCTTGGTCTTACACACATTTCTGTTCTTTCCTATTTTAGACTAAGTGTGACAGCTTTTGAATGTTTATAGACTGTTTAAGAAGAGCTGAGTGCCAAGACGTACAACCATAGTTCTGCCAAATGTTCATTAATAAGACCCAAATGGGAAAAATAATTTTTCCAAGGGGGTATTTATCCAGGGGAATGTTCAGGCCTTAGAAGAAGATATGCAGTCAAAATAGTAAAGCACCATCTAATTTACAGTATTAGATTTATAGTTTTTTTTGATGATTAAATGATGCTGTATCTAGAGGCATTTAGCATTAGTCTCTGGCACATTGTAAGGATGCACTAAATGTCAGTTGTGATTGGAGGATGAAAAATTTTAGTCCTGGAGGAAAATAATCGTCTTGCCCTACATTTGCCTCTTTACATATAAAATTTACTTTGTGAGTCCAGCCATGTACTTACGTAAAGGGGGCATTGAAGGGTTCAGGTATTCCTTTATTTTCCTTTTGAATTGTAAAGAGTTGATATCATTTCATTCTAATGGCATGGATGAGTTAATTCAGGCAATATTTGAGATACTAACAGGTACACATACTGTATAGATGTTGGGAAAACACTCCTGGAAAATGACTTGGCCTCACTGTTCTACAGTTGTGTATTGAGATAGACAAGCAGATTGGTCACTGTTATGAAGAGAGGGTGAGGCTCTGAAGGATGAATTGCTGGGGGCTTTGGCCACAGGGAGAGAGCCTTCCTTTACAGTTGGTTCAACTAAGAAAACATTCAAATGAAACTGAGTAGGACTTTGGTTCATGTACTAGTGTCCCTTATAGCCTTTGGAACTTTTTATGACAGTCTGACTCAGGTTGAACAATCTTAAGGTAGTATTTTTGCTAGGAATGCCTCATGACAGGCCATTTTTTGTTACCAGTGTCAATGTCAGAGTGAGTAAAAGGAATTTTTGCTAGATAAAACTACATTTGGGAATGGCCGCGAGAACCATATGAATGTGTCATCTGGTTTGCATCAGTTCTATAAAACTCAAAATCATTATGTTCATCACACTTTCCCATTCAAGTAGATAATGCTTAGCACCAATCCAACATTGCAATTAAAAAATACTTTGCATAAGCTACTGTACTAGAGTCATTTTACAAGTTGAAGATGAGTCATTTTAGGTGACATGTCAGAATGAAGTTCTTAAAAGCAAGGCTCTGAGGCCAGACTTGAATATTTTATAACTGAGATGGCCCATCAGTCACTGTAATGTTTATGATGTCAAAAATTATTTTGATGTGTGCTAGCTCTACGGCATCAACAAGTACATGCTTAAGAAACCTGATGGATTTAAAGATTTACTTAACAAAATTTAAATATTCTTGTACATTTGAGGAATAGTTGTTACCAGCACTAGGTCTAGCTTTCCCATCTGCTTGAAAATAGCAGGGTATAAGGTAGGGCTGGCATTTTCATGACAGGATGTCAACTTTTAATGCCAGGATATCTGGCATCTAAAGGATATGAAATCTCATATAAATCTACTAGACCTTATTTGAGCTTCAAACACTTGTGAAACAATTGAACCATGAAGTAATGGCTCTATCATGAGTCTACTATAAGCCTGAGACAGCTGTTAATTACTCAGTTTACATGTTTTTCATATGTTGAATATATACATAATTAAAAGTTGAAAATAATGCACATACCCAGATAATCATCATCTGAGTTAATTATTAATATTTCCCATATTGGCTTTAAGTATCTATCATCTGTCTTTAGTTTTACTTACCCATTTTAAGGTAAATTCCAGATACCGTATCTCACTCTTAAATACTCAGCATGCATCTCCCAAGAGTAAAAATATGCTTCTGTATAGCCATTGTTCATATTAAGAAATTTCATATATAGTCCTGTTATATATTACCCAGGCCTTATTAAAATTCCCAATTACCTCCCAGCTACTTTTCATAGCTCTTTTATAAAAAATCTGAATCATAATTTATCAAGGTTCACATATTTGTATATTAGAAATTTCTAGGTTCTTCAGACTATCTCTGTATTAGTAATATCATCTGTAAGTAATATTGATGATTTTTTACTATAATGACAAAATTACCTTTACTATGTTAAAAATTGTACTTGTTAGGTATTCATTTAGTACCACGTGTCAGGAATATGCTAAGGACTTTACAAGTTTTACTTAAATTCAAATTTTAAAAAGTTCAATTATATGAATTATCTTTTGTCATTAAGTTTCTTTGAGGGTTGTTGATTGAAAATTCTTATTCTGTGTAAGTTCTTTATCTGTACACCATGTTTTATTCTTTTTATCTCTTATATAAGCCAAACAAATATTTTATTTAGATCCAAGGAAAATAGGTTTTATGTGTTAGCAAACAAGTATGCATCCCTTGACTCAATCAAGAAGACAGCAGAGCTGCTAGCATCTTAAATCTTGGTTTTAAAATTAGTGAAAACAAATAGGTTCTGTAATATGTATGCCCAGTGTTTTTTTTTTCCTAAAAAAATCTTTTTTATAGAGCGTGGTGCATAGGTTTAAAGAACTTTATAACTATTATGGTTTTATGTTTAATATAAACCATAGTAATTATTTTTTGGAGATATATGGAATAATCTTAATTTATCTCCAGTTAGATGCCTAAATTAAGATTGGTTTTGTTTTCCTTGACTCCTTTCATGTTTATTTGCCAGAGAACTGTAAGTAATCATTGATTATAGCATTTCAGTATTATTTTAATCAACTTATTTTATTATCCTCTTTCATATTACTTATTTTTAAGATAGACTATACCACTTTATTAACCATATTGAATGTCCCCTTATTGTATTAATGGTGGGAAAAGAATTGGAGACATATTTTCTGATTTTTATCAGCTTTTTAAAAATGTACAGCAGGGAAATCTCATTGTCTCAACTATCAAATGAAACACAACTTTTACATTTTTGGCAGTGGATACTAACGTACTGTTCCTTATAAAATGTTTTCTGTAGGCACTTGAAGACTCTGGCTGCTTGAGCAGAAGTGGCCAGGACAGTGGTTACAGCGATAGCTGGTGTCCTGACCGGGGAGAATTTCCTGCTCCTCCAGGCAGCCATAAGACGGAAGATTCCTTGGAAAGCTTAGATTCCTTGGGGTCTAGGTCACTGGCCAGCTGCTCCTCAGGTATCGCACTGAGAGGAGATCGTGAAGGTGAGTTGAATGTTTGGCTCTTTATTTTTGTTAACATAAGAGAAAATTAAGAGCAGGAAAAAGTAGAAAAAAGGAATGAAAATTAGGCAAAAATTTCACCAATATATAGATTAAAATATTTAAGTATAACTGGGGTTTCTTAATTTTTCCTTCTCATAGTGGGGATAGTTTCCATTTTTGACAGAACTGGTGAGGAGATAGTTCACTGTGACTTGATTTATTAGAGATAATTTGGCCTTTTCATATTCTGGCTTAGTAATCTTCATGTAAGAAGCATATTAGCTCATATATCTAAACATAGAAGTGAATATAAGTAAGATTCTGTAAAAATAACTATCCTAGCTCCTGAGTAATTTTTTTTCTTCTCTTGCTTTTTCCTCAAAGATTTAAAAAAGTCAAGAAGTAAACAGGAGGAATATTTTTTATAATTACCTCTAAACTTTGATGGATTGGGTAGCATGCTGCCTAATTGGGTGGTAAGAAATATCTTTTGGTCATATCGGGGTCAGAGCTAACCCAAGACAGAGCAAACCTGAAAGGAATATGTCAAGGCAGTGCTGTCCAGGGAACCTTCTTTTAAATACCAAAGTTATAGTCAAGTCATTTATTTAAGCACACATTATTCCTGTGGCTACTAGGCAGTCAGCAATTTTTGAATGAATCTCTAGCTACTCTGAATTGACTAGATTGAAACAACAGTTAGAATTTCTTGAAATGCTGGGGATGTAGCTCAGTGATTAGGGCACCTGCCTGGCATATGTGAGGCCCTAGCTTGCATCGTTAGCACCATGCCAAAAACAAAAACTGAAAATGTTTCTCATGAAATATTGAGACTTTTCTTGTGAATTTGTGCTCGATTATTAGGGATTTCACTTTGCTTGTGTATTCTGGATATTGCCTTATATTTCTAAATTGTTTCCCTAGAAGTTTATTATGAAAAATTTCAAACATAAGCAAACTATATATAATGAATTTGTTTTTCAAAAATCAACCATTGTAATAAAAACTAAATTCTTACTTAGGTATGGTGGAGCATGCCTGTAATCTTAGCCCTCTAGGGGAGGATTCCATGTTTAATCCCTGCCTGAGGAAAACAGTGATTTAGCAAGACCTAGACTCAAAATACAAAAAGGTCTAATGATATAGCTCAGTAAAAAGGCCTTGGGTTCAATCCCCAGTACAGAAAAAGTAAAATCTTTAGATTTTAGAGTATTAGTATTAAAAAATATCAATAGTTATTTAAGCACTAATCTTTATAATTACTATTGCATTTGTTAGCTGTTTGCTATCTAGGTATGACATTTTCATATCCTGGATGATGGTTACTATGCCTTTAAGGAAATAAATCTGAGTTTATAATTCATCAGAGTGATTAAAGTTGTAAATTCAGAGTCTGAAATTCTTAGTCTACTATATTACTTTGTCCAGACTGAAGCACCTACAACATGTGATGTTTAAATTTTTATCCGGCCAACAAAGACTAAAAATGGAAGGATTGCAAGTTTGTGGGCATAGGCAGACTTCAGTCTGTGCAGATGTGGCAGGTCACTGGTCCTTTCCTCAGACACCCGGGAAGGGTCCTCGGTGTGTGTAACCTGAAGTAGAAGGCTCTGGTCACACTGCTTCCTGGTCTCCAAAAAAGCCTTATGAAAAGGGGCTGCAGATGGACTTTGCTTGGAGGTCTTGGCAATTGCAGCCGGAGGGGATACTAGGATGATAAAGTATTTCTGTTAGTAGTTTATTAGAATTCTGCTGCTTTTCACAGGGTTATAGTTATTAGCACCACAGTTTAGGGTAATACTTTTGGGACAAAAGAATTGCAAAATGAATTTCCCTAGTTATGAAAACTTATATCAAGAATGAGATTGGGCCGGGGATTTAACTCAGTGGCACTGCGCCTGCCTCACAAGTGCAAGGTACTGAGTTCGATCCCTGGTACCAAAAAACTGCAGAGCACTACCCTGGGCTAAAAAAAATTTTAACTTAAAAAATTCAGAAGTAGAATACTTCATGATTTTAATATTTCACATGTACGGTTTGACTAGGATCCTTGGCACATTATTTTGGAAGTAAGAGAAAAGTCTTAAATAGGAGGTGGTAAAAAACGACTAGATTATTGACTCCTAATCCTCTTGACCATAGCTGACAATGTTTTCTCTTGTTTAGTTTTGCTGTGACTCTCCTCTTACTGTCCCTGTGTCACAGGTGTGTGTCAAACCACTTCCTGAAGACTATTCTCAGTGTTACTTACTATGGACTCCTGCCAGGAAGGAGGGAGGAGACTGGACTGCCTTGAGCTCAGGTTGGCCCTACAGGAACAGAGCCTGAGCAGTCAGGTGCTGTGCAGAGCCTGCCTCTGGGAGAGCCTTGTGTGAAGCAGGCAGCATACATGCCTTCACAAATGTGCATGAGGCAGGCAGAAAGGAGGGCAGGAATGAGACTACTCAGTTTGAATCTGTAGTGTTATTTTCTCTCTTCTTTTCTTGCTGTTTCTTTAAAATAATGGGTTTTGCGTTTTTACGAGTGTAGATTAATTATTGCTTGTATCTATCTGACCTTGAGGTCTATCAAAGGGTGTCCTTTTGAGCTTTTTTAAAAAATGATTTTAAATCTAAATACAGTGTCCTCAATATAATTTCTCTTGTGCTCTCATGTAGGCAGTAAGACTTGAGATTCTTTTGGGACTTTAGAAGTCACCCAGCCTAACCTCGTATCTGATGTTGGATTCTTGTTCATAGGCTCTCATGAAGATCTACCAGACTCTTTTGCAGTCTTCTGCATTTTTACTTCTCTTTCTATGTCCTTATCTCTCCCCTCATGTAAATTTGGTAGCTCCATGCCTTATTTTAAATTACCAAGTTTTCCTAGAGTTACTTTTGTAAATGGTTTTAAGTGTCTGTGACTCTATTGCTGGGTTTTCTTTACATGTTTACATCAAAAAATTGTATGAAACATCCTGGAGGCAAAGAATACTGGGAACAAAAAGGGTTCAGCAGTTGAATGGGTTTTTTTCTACTTAGAATTCTTCTTAGACAGAAGAAGAATGTGCTGCATGGGCTTCCAGTATGCAAAGCAAGTTCCTCCTAATGGATCTTATCACAACTTCATGACAAATTTCTAAAAATATTCCCTGCAGTTCTCAGTAGCAGCACTGGGTTTCCAAGAGAAAGACAAAGCAGACACACTGAGGGGTTTCAGTCAGGAGAATAATCTGGAGAGTAAAGCAAATGTTTTTTCCTTTTTTATAGGTTTTGAAAGTGACACGGATTCGGAATTTATATTCAAAATGCAGGATTATAACAAAGATGATATGTCCTATAGAAGGATTTCAGCCATTGAACCAAAGTCTGCTTTACCATTCAATCGTTTTTTACCTAACAAAAGTAGACAGCCCTCATATGTGCCAGCACCTTTGAGGAAGAAAAAGCCAGACAAAAATGAGAATAACCGAAGAAGTTGGGCAAGCCCGATCTATACGGATGCAGATGGGACATTTTCAAGGTATGAGGATGTGATGTGATTACGCAGTCCAGTATGTTTTGTGAATTTGACAAGATATTTAAATATGGTAAAAAGATTAGCTCTTAAAATGTATTAGGTAATAAATCTCACTAATGATATTTTTTCTTCTTACCTGTGCTTGTAGTCATACATATCTTGAAGATAATTTGTTCTCTTTTAGAATGTCAGCATATGATTTCTAGGTCTTTTTTTTTAAAATGAATGCCTTCTGGTTATTGGTATTTTTCAGCTTACTGGATGACTGATAGTGTTCATTGTGAGCTCTGCTGTACTTTCTTCCCTTCTTTTCCTTTTTTGTTGGTCTTAGTGGACATGACAAGACTCCTTTAATTTCCCATCAAATTAGCAGAGCAGAGTATGACTTTTCAAACCCAACTTCCTATAAGGAGTTGTATGATTCTGAAAGTGGTTCAGACTCTGAGAATGAACGAAAGTTGCCTGACGTGATTTTGGATGACCTAGCCAACCGTAGATTCCAAGTGAAAAAGAGGCCTGAGAGCTTCATCTCGAAAACCACCTCTCCCAACTCTGGTCAACAAATATTTTCTCCTGATACATTAGCCGCTGGGCTATGCACACTGACGAGGTCAGAAATATATTTGTCCTGGATCTGGATGTCTATCTTGCTGCTGATTTAATTCAGAAAATAACACTCCAAACTGTTTGTAATTTGTCTTTCTTTTAACACAGCTTCCAATTAAGTGTCATTAATTAGAAGTGGGTATGTGCACTTAACTATTCTCTAACTAAAATGAGATGCTGTAATGCCTTAACTTTGTTCTAGGAGCTGTGGTGATGGGAATGGGAGTTCATCTGCTTCATTCACAGTGGTATAAGATTTGTGAGGCGGAATGCATGCCTTTTGTGTTCTGTGTCACAAATAGCTCACAGTGTCTTACCTGGTTGGATGTTTTGAACAGTAACCAAAGGAGGACTTGGGGCACCAGTGTGCAGAACTGGTCAACAGTTCGAGGAACTCCAAACTCTTGTTATTTGGAAGAGGAAGAAGAAAAGCCAACAGGCATACCCAACATTGTAAAGGATGATCTTTATGTGCGAAAGCTAAGTCCAATCATACCAAACCCAGGGAATTCTTTTGATCAGTTTCTTCCCAAATGCTGGACCCCAGAAGACGTGAACTGGAAAAGAATAAAAAGGGAAACTTATAAACCTTGGTATAAAGAATTTCAGGGATTCAGGTTTGTCTCTGTGCATGTTTCTGTTCTTCCGGTGTTTATCCATACCCTAACCTGGTGCATCTATGTTTGTTTTGACTTAGGGAAAGGTGAATTTCCCATTAAACATTATGGATCCTGTATAACTGAAGAATATTTGTTTAAATTTAAACCTTAGAATTTGGATCTTAAAAAGCCCTCTTCTGTATGTGGTCATAGCTTGCCATTAATTCCAGTAGTTTTATTCCTCTCCAATTCTTTTTCTCCCTCTTTCCCTCTTTCTTTTCTCCATGTCACTTCACAGTAGAAGGAATTCAGACTCTAAGGAAGTGGACTCAGGCTTTGACAGAAGCTCCACCATTTTTAATAGAATACAGAAAGCAGAGAGTAGGATAGACAGCAATTGCCAAAGACCTTCACGTTTGCTGGAACTAGCTACCAAACAGGCCACAAGATCAGAGGACACCCATGCAGCCAGGAGAGCCAGTGGCGCCTTGGATGAGCCCAGGTGCACCTGTCTGCACAAGCCCACCTGCTTGGGGTCTGGCCTGAGGCACCTAATTGGCCTGCTTTTGCTGCTATGTTAACCTCAACCTCACTGTGCTGCAACATGGAAACATGCTTTATAGATTTAGTATAAAAACATAATATATAACATATGAGCATGTAAGCCTAGAAGTCTATGGGATTTGATATTCTTTGTTAGCACAATAATGTGCAAAAGAGTATATATTTCTTTATATATTATATAGTTCTTTCAGAAAACCATTCCAAAAAGGCTTTTAAAAAAGATTACCAGAGTTTACAATTGTGCCATGTATAGAGATGTGGAGAAAGGAAATAACTTTTAGATAGAGACTGGGAGGGGCAAGTCTGATGGGAGAATGCAAAGCATTCCTTAAAGTCTTTTATAAAACTTAAGAGAAATTTAGGTTTTTTTGCTCATCATTATATGTACCTGTTGCATAAAGTGCATAACAGCTACCTGTTAAAACTTTCTGAGAGCAGTGCTTCTCTCTAGTGGGGGCATGTGGCTACTCAGGCTAAGGGAATGAAAAAATGGGCACAAGGAGTAACACAAGAAAGCCTTTGAGAGAGGTATCCCTGGTGCAAGTTCTAGCCCATTCCTTGCCCTCAGTAGTGCCCAGTTATCTGGGGAAGTATGTTTTGCTCTTGTTTCTGTAAGAGATCCATAGGAAAGTCACAGATGATAGCATTTAATGGTAGTCTGTCTGTCTTTTGAGTGCTCCCATGACCCTAAAATAATTCCACTTGCAATTACCTTTTCTCCTCAAACTTAATATGATTCTCCCTTCCTTTTTTCCTTTCTCTGCTTCAGTCAGTTTTTATTACTTCAGGCCCTCCAAACATACTCTGACGACATCTTGTCTTCTGAAACAAATATCAAAATCGATCCCACTTCTGGCCCAAGGCTCATAACACACAGAAAGAATCTCTCTCATGCACCAGGCAATAGAAAAGATGACCTTGAAATTACAGCTCTGGATCCTGACTTAGAAAATGATGATTTCTTTGTCAGAAAAACTGGGGCTTTCCATGCAAATCCATGTGTTCTTCGAGCTTTTGAAGACTTCAAAAGATTCTCTGAGCAAGATGAACCCATAGAGCGAGATATAATTTTGCAGTATAGAGAAGGTGAACTTGTACTACCAGATTTAGAAAAAGACGATATGATTGTCCGCCGAATTCCAGCACCGAAAAAAGAAGTGCCTCTCTCCGGGGCCCCAGATAGATACCAGCCAGTCCCTTTTCCCGATCCCTGGACTCTGCCTCCGGAAATCCAAGCCAAATTTCTCTGTGTACTTGAAAGGACACGCCCATCCAAAGAAAAAAGTAATAGCTGTAGAATATTAGTTCCTTCATATCAGCGGAAGAAAGATGACATGTTGACTCGTAAGATCCAGTCTTGGAAACTGGGCACTCCTGTGCCTCCCATCACCTTCACCCCTGGCCCCTGCAGTGAGGCCGACTTAGAGAAGTGGGGGGCCATCTGCGAGGCCAGCCGGCTTAGGCACAAGAAGAGGCTAATGGTGGAGAGGTCAGAGTGTGTTTTTGCAAGAGTTTGGCTTGTAATAGATGGTCTTGTGTAACTTTCCATGTGCCAAAGGCAGTATCACATTGCTCAACCCTGCATGTCGTGTGCTGTGTTGAAGCATCCTGTAAAAATTTATTTTGCTTTTTTAGTTATTTCATTAAAAAAGGTGCAATTCCATATTTGCACATCTTTTAAGCCCATTTGAGAAGATATATATATGAATCTTTGGCTTTTAGACTGCGGTACTATTCTATAATATGAAATTTCATAAAAATGTTTTCCAATTATATTTACAGACTTTTATTCTTTCTTTCTTTTTTTTTTTGGTACCAGGGATCAAACTCATGACCTTGCACTTGAACAGGTGGCAGAACCACTGAACTAAATCCCTGGCCCCAGACTTTTATTCTTATATTCAGGCATTTCTATAATAGTCTGGTGGTAGTTTGGCTTTATATGTGTTTCTCATATTTTGGATTGCCTAAGTTTTTGAGGTATGCATATTCCTTAAAATATGGCATTGCAAATTTTATTTAGCTTGACTGCTGCTTTTGAAGGAGGTTTCTTGGACTACCAACTTATAACATTTTTATTTATAAAGTTTAATGCAAATTTCATCAAAATGCATGAATGTTATTTACTGTCTGCTGAGTTTTACATGTATGCAGTTGTGGACATTTTGGTAATGTAATTATTTATAACTTGCCTTTTTGATGAATGTTTATTGAATTTTGAGATGGACAAATCTGATTAGGCTGAATAAAATTAGTAGACTCTAAATCTAACTTGCTACTTCCTGACAATGGGAAGCCTTTTCTTATAGACTTGTTGGGTCAGTAAATTGAAAGCTTTCATTTTGCTTAATCTGAGTTTCTTGAGATATAAGATGGATGAGCACTTGGAACATAATCAAGAATGCAGCTGAAGAAGCAACCTTTTGAGATATGTCCATCCTCAATTAGACTCAAAAGACACTGAACAATTAGAAACTAACATAACTGGAAAATGTGACTTTTAAAATTTTTGGTTTTCTGATTTCTCAGACTCTTTCAAAAGATTTATGGTGAGAATGGGTAAGTTTTGTGGTTCACAGTAAAAAAAAAATCTGTGCTTAATTCTTGGCTTTTGTGTAACTTGTCATTGCATTTCTATCTCGGCATGTCACTGAATGGGGATGCTTTATGCAGTGCATGAAATTTTAAAATTGGAAGTTTTTATTAATGTTGCAGCCTAATGATACTATTTCTGTATTTGAGTGTACAGTGCATGAAATACTATATAAAACAAAATTTCTGTTATATTAGAAGTTTAAAATTCAGTTCTATCCCTTTTTTCTTTTTTAAAAAATTTAATGAGTTAAGAATACCTAAGATTGTGTATATTTTGATATTTGAGTGGTAAATAGACTTACGCTTCTAATTTCATGGTTGCTGAACCATGTTTTAGAAAGCCTGTAGTAGAAAAAGATACTAGCATTTACTCCAGGTTAGAATGCCCACAGTTGGTACAATTCATCTACTCAGCTCATGGAGAGCTGTGTTAGTAGGGATGGTGAATGGCATCAGTCTTCTACTACAAATATATATTGTTTTGTTTTGTTTTGTTTTTTGTTACTGGGGATCGAACTCAGCACCTTGCCCTTGCGGGGCAGGCAGCAGCACCACTGAGCTAAATCCCCAGCCCCTCCACTACAAATATTTGGAAACATTTTTACGATTCCTGATTAGCATAAAAACTTATAACATAGTATGCATAGAACAAAACTAGATTTTCAAAATTGCAAAAATAACATCTTGCTAGTTTGCAGTATTGTTGCAAGAACTGTATCACTAATTCTCAGTTTTTGTCTACTGATGTTTAATTGTCAAGTGGTAGACATGGTAGTGCAAAACTAACCCTCAGGAAGTTCTTTTTAATTTCTAGAATAATAAAAAAATTTTTAAATTATTCATTCTTATTATAAAATCACCAGGTATCTATTTCTGAGTAATTTCCACCAAACTTTCTGAGGCTTTGTGAATCTTATAGGTAATAGTTTTTGAGTAAAAGAATTTAAGGCTTTCAAATTTTAATTTCTACCTAAGCCTTGGTGGCTGAGTATTTTCCCCAGGATTTACTTCATTTCTAAGGATATCTAATTTGGTAGCTTTCGATAATTTAGATAGTTCAGAAATCTTGGACGGTAACAAAATTACCATTTAATGCAATAATAGAACTATTCTAAATGTCAAAAATGTAATTGAGCCATGGACAACTTACTGGGAGTACTTCTCAACCACTGATTTAAAAAAATGTCTCTCAGCATATTTTCAGTGTGTCATGTTAAGGCATGTTATCCTTTGCCCAGATCCTCATACACTTATAATGCTGTTTTCATCTGTGAAGGCGAAGAAGGCAGTCTGTAGAATAATACTTAATTCTTAATGCCTGCAATTCTCATTTCATCATGGGAAAACTGTTTTAACTTGATTAAAAATCTCTTGGCAGGGTTGAAAATATAGCTTAGTGATAGAGTGCTTGCCTCACATTCATAAGGCCCTGGCTTCACTCCCCAGTACTGCCTCCTTCTTCCTTTTGGAGCTTCAAGCATTTTAAATAACTTTCAGAAAGATTTGTCATTTATGAATTAAATATGATTTTATAAAATAAGCAGGTCTCAGGAATAGCTATTTTACCTTAAGCGGATATAAGTGCCCAGAGTACAAGTACTTAATTGTCATGTGTGCATACTATCTCACTGACTAGTGTGTTCCTCCTTAGTTAAGGGAATGTTATGTGAC